GAATATTGAAGCTTAACGTACATGTTAAATAGGTTTTGGTTTTTGCCATTGTTGAGGTAATCTTTCTGAGCGTATGCGTTCATTATCATATTTTTTTGTTAGCTGGAGGTTATTAGCACTTTAGATTCTGATAGAGCACGTTAAGTGTTGTTAATGTACTATCAGTGAAGTATATGTTAATTTTGTGTTGAGTTCAGTAAAATAAACAGTTTAATGTGATGATTATAATTCATTTGCTTGATTCAATTTAAGATCTGTAGTTCGTTCATGTGGTTCGTCTAGGTGAATGTGGCCATGGAGTTAGGTTGTAATTCACTACACAGATATTCTTTGTCTGGGTTCTGGCTGAATATTCCAGGATCTCTGCACAGGCGAACCTCTTGTCTTTTCTTTACCGTTCCTGTTTTTGCTGTTCAGCAGGGAACAATTACTTTTTGTCCTAATCACTTTAGCTATATCACTCCTGTATGTTCAATATCAGATTTGGGCTATCCTCCGAATAATGGTCCCACATTATCGAGGCCGAAAATATACCCTAACAGGGCCTCAGTCACATGTCAATTGCGGACTTCCGGCGACTACTGCTGAGAGTATCTCCCACGCCACACTACGCTAAACTAGATGGCTGAGACTCACAAGCAAATAAAATGAAGGAAGCTGCAGGAAATGTGGTAGCTGCTGCTTGCGAGTCCCAGCCATCTAGTTTAGTCCCGCTCCATGCCGTGCGTAGCAGCGTGGGAGATACTCTAGGCGGTGGTTGCCGGAAGTCCACTATTGACATGTGACTGAGGCCCTGTTAGTGTATATTTTCGGTTTCGATTATTTGGGACCGTTATTCAGAGGATAGCCCAGATTTGTATCAACAGTACTGCTCTTATGTGTTCACAATGCTATGTATTACTATACTGCTTTTGAGTTCACAATATTGGTCATGGTGTTCACAGTATTGCTCTGGTGTTCACAGTAACATCATTCAAAATCGCAAGCAGCACATGCAAGGAACAACAAGCATTGTAACTAAAGTGGTAATGACTCAATCGACACAGGAAATACAAGCACAATAGATGTATTTCTAGGGAGCAATAAATCATCATTGGAAAGCAAAACGCATGAACATTTACAAATACAACCAAACACAGAAAGTCATGACCTTATTCAGCATTCTTTTACAAGACATCCTATCTGTGCGTACAATCTTCATACCATGCGAACATTTACTGAGAGTTGAGTCTGATCTTGAATGAACCTGATATGTTCATGTTAGAACATTGACATGTGCGAGATGTTTATTTGCTCGCATTGTTCCCGTTATATCCCTGTGAGTTCCGAGGCCACATTGTGGGGGGGGGGGGGGGAGAATCACTAACCCCCTAATATAATGCTGGGATGCCGGGTTCGATCCCAGCTGCGGGCTATGCGCCTGACATTGGTTTCGACAGTGGTATCAAGAAAACCTACCGTCCAGAAAGCAATGGCAAACTATCGGATGTAAATTTGCCTATAAAAAACCACAACAGCCAGGGGCTGTTAGGGTTGGTTCTGCAACATACTGTAAAGGATACACAACTAACCTAAAACCCCCTAATAAGCGTGTTATAAGAGTCAACTACAAGGAGTGTTTCGTTTGAAGTCAGAGTGCATCCGCCTAACAGGCAAGGAACCAACAGTATGTATCCAGTAAGCCAGATCAGTAAAATGGATGTGCGTGCAAAACACTAATTCTGGAACAAGATTTATCTAAGTCCAGAAGTGGATGAACAACCAGAATTTTACACTGGAGTTTAAAGCTGGTGAACACAAAGAGTTCATGTTTTATCTGTGATGTGCTCATCTGTTCAACTTGTTCATGCTGGAACTTTGACATCTGTGAAATGTTCATCTTCTCCAGGAGTCTGAACTTTGTGTTAGAACTTTGACATCTGTGAAATGTTCATCTTCTGAACTTGCTCATGTTAGAACTTTGACATCTGTGGGATGTTCATCTCCTGAACTTGCTCATGTTAGAACTTTGACATCTGTAAAATGTTCATCTTCTGAACTTGCTCATGTTAGAACTTTGACATCTGTGAAATGTTCATCTTCTGAACTTGCTCATGTTAGAACTCTGACATCTGTGGGATGTTCATCTTCTCCAGGAGCCTCGTGTTAGAGCTTTGACATCTAATCATATATGCATTTTCTTCAGAAGTCTCAAATAGTTCATATAAAAAATGCTGACATCTCTAAGAAATTGTTCACATTAGAGCTTTAACATCTGTGAGATGTTCATTTCCAAGAAACTCCACCTGTAGTGCTGGTATGTCTCGAAAATGAGATTGTGTGGAACCAAATATTTTTAAATCTATCTTCTTACTTGAGAAAATGTGAAACAGGATACTTATGCATTAAAAATTATTTTTAATGGGATGTTCTACTCCAATATTAAAATATATGGAAAATCTTATTTTTAACAATTGAGTAAAATTAGAATTATTATTAAAAATTTTGTAAATTAATTACAGGATTTTAAATGTATTTTCTTCTACAGAACTGCAATTGTGTTTCAAGACATCATGTAGTAAATAACTTGATTGTAGAAGTAAATAACTTGATTGTCGAAGTAAATAACTTGATTGTAGAAGTAAGTAACTTGATTGTAGAAGTAAATAACTTGATTGCAAACTTCATTTGGAACACAGAAAGCAAAACACAACTATCCGAAAGTTAAGTCAATCAATTTTATGTAAAAACTTATGACTGTAACAAACAAACAAAATAATAACCCCATGAATTGTAAGGTATCTGTAATAATCCAACAGTATTTAATTCTATTCATTCTGCCAAAAAAAAAATATATTAAAAATAGACATATGTGCTGACAAATCAGAGAATATAATAGATTCTGACCAACAGTCTGCATACATATAAGTTGACATGTAAAAGGGATGTGCATGTAAAACTCAAGTTTTCAGAACAAGACTGAAGTCCAGAAATGAACGAACAACCAGAAGTTTCCTCCAGAGTTTACAGGCAATAAATGTGAAGAACAATGAAGATAAAACTGATTAGCAGATTCTGTCACAATCAACGGTGACAGATTCTGTCACAATCAACGGCGACAGATTCTGTCACAATCAACGGCAGCAGATTCTATCACAATCAACGGCGACAAATTCTGTCACAATCAACGGCAGCAGATTCTATCACAATCAACGGCAAAAGATTCTTTCACAATCAACAGCGACAGATTCTGTCACAATCAATGTCAGTATATTATGTCACAATCAACAACAGCAGATTCTGTCACAATCAATGGTGACAGATTCTGTCACAATCAACAGCAGCAGATTCTGTCACAATCAACAACAGCAGATTCTGTCACAATCAATGTCAGTATATTCTGTCACAATCAACGGCTGCAGATTCTGACCAATAAGTACAACTATTAATAGATTCTGTCCAATTGCTAATTTGTTTGAATATTCTTAAATTCTGGACAGATATTGTTGAGCTTGTTTAAGCAGTATTACAGTATTTCGATTCTTCTTCTTATAGTCCACACCATGTGACATTAGTAATCGTGTCTGTCCCCATCCTTCTGTCATGTGTTCTGTTAGTGATTTCTGACACAAATGTCTTTCTGTCATGTGTTCTGTTAGTGATTTCTGACACAGATGTCTTTCTGTCATGTGTTCTGTTAGTGATTTCTGACACAGATGTCTTTCTGTCATGTGTCCTGTTAGTGATTTCTGACACAGATGTCTTTCTGTCATGTGTTCTGTTAGTGATTTCTGACACAGATGTCTTTGTGTCATGTGTTCTGTTAGTGATTTCTGACACAGATGTCTTTCTGTCATGTGTCCTGTTAGTGATTTCTGACACAGATGTCTTTCTGTCATGTGTTCTGTTAGTGATTTCTGACACAGATGTCTTTCTGTCATGTGTTCTGTTAGTGATTTCTGACACAGATGTCCTTCTGTCATGTGTCCTGTTAGTGATTTCTGACACAGATGTCTTTGTGTCATGTGTCCTGTAGGTGATTTCTGACACAGATGTCTTTCTGTCATGTGTCCTGTTAGTGATTTCTGACACAGATGTCTTTGTGTCATGTGTTCTGTTAGTGATTTCTGACACAGATGTCTTTGTGTCATGTGTTCTGTTAGTGATTTCTGACACAGATGTCTTTGTGTCATGTGTTCTGTTAGTGATTTCTGACACAGATGTCTTTCTGTCATGTGTTCTGTTAGTGATTTCTGACACAGATGTCTTTCTGTCATGTGTTCTGTTAGTGATTTCTGACACAGATGTCTTTGTGTCATGTGTCCTGTTAGTGATTTCTGACACAGATGTCCTTCTGTATCACGATCTCAATCTGTCCAGCATCCGCTCTTGGTCTTCTCAGCTTCCAATACTTCTGATTTAAACTTCCCTATTGAATACTCGGTCGGCGTCTGTGGCTCAGGCGTTGCGAACGCGCTTCGTAAATTTGGGGTGCTGGGTTCGATCCCTGCTGCGGACGGTTTGTCTTGCAATGGTTTCGACCGTGGTACCGAGAGCCGACCGTCCAGAAAGCAATGGCAAACTACTGGACATAAATTTGTCTAGAAAAAAAAACCACAACAGCCATAAAGAGCCGGGGTTGGTTCTGCAACATTCTGTAAAGGGTACGCACCGAATTAATTATTTGAATACTGTGCTGGTTTCACAATTAACTGCATTATTTTAATATACTTCATATGTTGATTAATTACATTCTTTTTCAGTCAGACTTTTTAAACCTCTCAACCATAACTGTCTTTGAACAAAGTATAACTTCTAACACACACACAAATTCTGTCTCAGTTTAAAGAAAAAAAAAAAGCAAGTGTAAGTAGAACCAAATTAACCAACAAATATAGAACAGCAAAATTATATAATAAGAAACAGCAACAAAGGACACAAATGCACACGTATGAAGCCTGTCTGATTACAAACAAAGGCTTCCTCTGTGCATGCTCAGGCTAACATGAGAATATTTGCTCTCAGGCTGAAGCGGTCAAGAAGTTGGTGACTGGCTCCAACTCTCGTTTCAACCATTTGGCATTCAGACGAATGTTCTCAATGTTCTGTTGGACCGTTCTCTCAGCAGCCGGCACTGGATGTTCTTTAAAGAACGCCTGGGGATACAGCAAACAGTTACACAGTTTTTGGAGGCATAATACTCTGAATAATCTGCTACATACAAGTGGCTTAATTCAGGTTTCTTAAAAATATAATTTAGTGTATTTCTACAGCTGAATTTAGCATATTTCTAACCAATAATTTAATATACACTGTATTAAAAAAAAAAAAGCATAGTTATACAATCATAGTTATACAATCATAGTTAAAAGTATAGTTATACAATCATGAGTTTTTAGTGGTTTGTAAATAAAATATTGTACTTGGGAATGTGAAAAGCAGACTCTCTGTGTCTAGTGGACATACGGGCGTGAATTGCGTGGGTTTTTTGTAATTGTTACAACGCAGTGGTCAATTGTGTTTAAGACCATATTTGTGAGCATAGCTCATGGTGCGAGCATGAGAAAGCACCACAATTTGGGGTGAAGAGTATTTACTGACTATGTAATTGAAATCCTGTACAACGATAACCCTACACCAAAACATTCAGTTCATTTTCAAGCAGTCACGAATGGAGCCTCTATCAATAAATTTATGTAATACTGCTTTTGGCCGAATGCAGGCAGGGGAAAGTTGTCCAGGCATCTAAACGTGCATCAGAGTACCATTAGTCAACTTTGGCACTGGTTCCAAGCCAGTGGTTCAGTAAAGACCGACATCGCAGTGGACGACCCAGTGTGACAACAGCAGCGGAGAATCGCTTTATTCAGCTTCATCACCTCAAAATTGTAAGGTCTACCCTAGGCAAAATAAAGGTTTAGCCCAAAAATTTGTTGATGAAGCTTTGCTGAACAGTGGTGGAGGTGTAATGGTGTGGGGAATAATCAGTTACAATGGAAAGAGTCAATAGGGGCACACTGAAGGCAGCTTGAATGTGTAACGATATGTCAATGAAATTCTTCAACCACTTGTCCTTCCATTTTGAGATGCCAACAGATATCTTTTTGAACAGGATGCTAGATTCCATTCTGCATTGTTGACCACACAGTTGCTGGCTGCCAATAACATTCAAAAACTTCCCTGGCCATCCCTGCTTGCAGTGATGAGTCCGATTGAACACCTGTGGGATGAGCTGCAAAGACGTGTTTGTCGCCAAAACATTGCTCCAGCCAATGGTCAGTTCCAGGCACTCCAAGAAGAGTGGGCAGCCATTCCACAGGCCCCTATCAGAATCTGATCGCACCCATGCCCAGGAGATGCCAGTCATTGATTCACGAAATAGGATGCCACACACCATACTAACAGGAAAGGTTGTACGCCTAAAAATTAACGTGACCCAATGGCAAAAAAAAAAAAACATGTCAATTGATTGCTGGAACCCTAGAGTGATTTCACTAGTTGCGTTACAAAGATGCAGAATGTCAAAATTGTGAATATGTATGGTCCTTTTAGAAGCTATATGTTTTTTTAGGGGGTGTCAGTATATGTTTGTAAAATCAGGAAGAACTTGGAGACCATTGAGATGTGCTTTCTAAAACACATATTGCAGACACCATGGACAAAGTAACTGATGACTGCCTGGAAAGGGCTTAGGAAATGAGAAAAACTACATAAAGCTCAAAGAAGAGGCGGTTTGTGTTCTTTCGTCATGTAACAAGAAGAGAGGCATTTGAAAGTGTGATGACTGGAAATAAAAACGGTAGCAGAGGCAGAGACAGACCACAAGAAATGATACTTGACAGACGAAGTGAAGGCATGGAGAAATGTCAGTGGAACATATTCAAAACACCAAAGACCAAGATCTGTAGAGACAGACCACAAGAAATGATACTTGACAGACTGAAGTGTGCTGTGTGAAAGACCTAAATGTAAGTTGGGTCTGCACGCCCAATTTAAGCCCCATTAAAAATAAAATTTGTTTTTCGTTATCATCATACCCATACGTGCCTGAGTTATAAACCAGAAGAGCTGAACAGGATATCATAAGGGTAAAGTACACAACAATATAAGTGTAACTTCTTGATAAATAAAAGAATAAAACCATGACAGAACTTACCTCCACTTCTAAAGCCTTCTCTTCTGTCACAAAATGGTTACTTGTGGTCTGAAATCAATCAAAGCCAATAATGAGTGAAAACAGAAGCAGACAGTTCAGGAGACGACATTACCTTTATCTGGATTGAACATCTGTGGTTTTCTTCTTCTTGTTTTTGCCTTTAAAAGGGAGGTCGGCACATTGTGGTTTATAGCTAAGCTGCGATGTCTGAGCATTTTGGCCCAATACGTTTCAGCAGACCACTAACTGGTCACCTTTCATGGCATGGTCTCTCTGTGTGGCCCCGGCCCCTCTGTGTGGCCCCGGCACCTCTGTGTGGCCCCGGCCCCTCTGTGTGGCCCCAACCCCTGTGTGTGGCCCCGGCCCCTGTGTGTGGCCCCAGGCCCCTGTGTAGCCCCGGCCCTCTGTGTAGCCCCGGCCCCTCTGTGTAGCCCCGGCCCCTCTGTGTAGCCCCGGCCCCTGTGTGTGGCCCCAGCCCCTCTGTGTGGCCCCGGCCCCTGTGTGTGGCCCCGGCCCCTGTGTGTGGCCCCGGCCCCTGTGTGTGGCCCCGGCCCCTGTGTGTGGAACACAAGAATAAACCCATGCCTCACCAACAAGCATGTTATAGCAGTGGACTAACTGGGAGCTTTCTTTAGGGTCAAAGTGCACCTGCCCGAGTGGGAAAAAAAAACAACGAACTGCACACAGGCCCAGACAAAAAGCCAAAGTCCAAAGGGACAAACAACCAGAACTTACAGCTGTAGATCAAAGAAGATGATGACATACTCCTTAGGGAAGGAGTCTACACCCCCCCCCCCCCCCCCCCATTTCCGAGGCCGGAACCCACAAGGGTATGTGGTCACTGTGACTAAACAATAAATGTCTCTATGCAGACCATCAGCCATATTGGATACAAGGTGCTATCTTACATTTAACTGTTTTAGTGCCAGAAGGTTTCACAGGACATGCCAAAGTGAAGGAATGACCTTAATGAAGAAAGAAAAATGCATTACTTTCCCCATGGCAATATTCACAATGGTGGTTACACTGGAGAGAGAAGCCAGATGTCTTTAGTATGTTCTGACTAAAAGTTAAACTTAGGAGATCATATTATTCTGTGGAGGCAAATCAATGGATAGTGCCACAAGTAAACAGTGTGTTTCTTTTGACTCACAGAGCTAACCAATCAATACTCGATGAATGGGCAATAGGGTCAATAACCTACCAGCAGCCTTGATATTAGGGCTGTACCGAAGAGTGATTTTCACTATTCGGCCGAATACGAATAATGGGACCAACTATTCGGCTGAATACGAATAGTGAATAGTGTATGAAATATATCCAAACACACACACACACTAATAATGTCAAATGTCGCTGAACTTTTACTTCACATAAAGTAGCACAGAATAGCCATCTTCTTCTTTAGCATTCTGAGCCCTTGAGGTTTACTGCTGCAGACTGTTTTTGAAAACCTGTAAGGCCCCATCTTTTTAATTTCTGCTTCAAGTTTCAGAGCCATATAAAATGACTGGCCTTACCAACGTTTTATATATTTTGATCTTGGTATTGCGATACAGACACTGTGACTTTAGCAGATGTTGAAGGGCATAGTATACTTTTTTCTAGATTGTATTCTAGATTATATTTGTCTCTTAGCATGTTGGAGCAGTTGAAGTTTGCACCTAAGTACTTATATGTTTCCGTTCGTTTGATTTTCACATTATCGACTTGGATGTGGCCGGAGTTTATATTCTTTCCATGTCTAGTTAGTATTCGTACAGAATAGTAAACATGTAAAAACATTTTATGTTTTGCATCTTTGAGTCAGTCTGTGGTAACTAATAACTAGAAATGAAAGAATCCTAAGTATTATAACAAGTAACTAAACTTAGAAATTGTCACTGACAGCTTAGTTAATATGCATGAAAGCTGGCTGCATTAGGTTTCAACAAAACCAGTCGTTCCATGTTGTCAGTATTAAGGCTGTGTATGCAGAAACGGGTGTAAGGTAACTACTATTCGTATTCGGCATGACCGAAAATTTTCGGCCGAATACTGAATAGTCAATAGGTCCACTAATCGGCCCCGAAGCAAATATTCGGTACAGTCCTACTTGATATCCTATAACACTTCCTCATACTTACTGTAGACTGAGTCTAGCTGGCAACCCAAGTCAATTTGTTTTTCTTTCTTAATTTTTGTTTTAAATTCACTGCTGAATGAAGATGCGAACACACGACCATCGAGCAAGCTTGTCAGCCACTGTGCTGCTGCAGTGCCCACATGTAGTGATGTTTAAAGAGAAATGGGTTGTGCGGAAACTGAATTCTGTCCAGCTGGTCTATGAGGTTTAACTCCCTCCTGTCAGGTTTTAAAAACCGCGCTAGGCAGTTGCCTTGATTTTTCAAACACAAATTAATCGTGCACTGGCTGAATAAATAATACAAACTATTCATGCAAATTAAAGAAGAAATGGTAATAATCATAAAGTTAATTAGATAAGTAATGCAATCACATTACAGAAGAAATATATTAATCATGCAAGCTAGTTAGCGAAGTAATGTAAATTTATTATACCAAGTCAGAGTAGCAACGTAAATTAATCATATCAAGTTAGAGAAGTAATGACAAGTGCAAAAACAGAAGAACCTACCGAGCTATGGTTAGAAAACAAATAACTCAAGCAAGCAAAAGACTTCAAGTATCTAGAGAGCTTAATATTATCCAGTGGAAGAATCGAAGCGGAAATAAATCACAGGTGTAACAAAGCGAATCAAATCATTGGACAAATATCACCAACTTTGCAGAACAAGCATGTAACAACTAACACTAAAAGAGCACTATTCAAAACAGTATTTTTACCGACACTGTGTTATCAGTGCTAAATGTTGATTGACATTAACAATAAAAGACACCAGAAAAAAAAAAATCAAAACAACAAAAATGAAATGTCTACGGCAAATCTTAAACCTAACTAGACGAGACAGGATAAGAAATGAAGATATCAGGAAAGAGGCTGGGTGGGGTAGAACCATTATTAAACTACAACAAGAGACAACAGATCAAATGGTTTGGACATGTTTCAGGACTACCACCAGACAGTGTATCACAGAGAGCCCTGTCACTTAGACACAATGGAAGCACAGCCAGAGGCTGACCATACAGGCGATGGACAGATGGGATATCCACAGCTGTAAATACCAGTATGTACGTAACATGTACCAAGGCTCTCACCCGATGCCTCTTCAAAAGCTGACACCGAAGGGCAATACAAAACTAGAGAAGAAGTAAGAGAAGTAATGTAAACTAGCAAAGCAAGCCACAGAAAGAAGTGATGTATTGTGTAAGAAGAGTATCACCTGTACAAGACGGGACAGAAGGAAGCCGCCCTCGTAGCGGTCGTTGAGCAGTGAAAAGTTTTGCCTGAAAAACTTCCAGGCCAGCTCTCGACCTGCAACAGTTCCCGTGGTGCCAGCGATCACAAACACTGTGTCCTGAGATCGCACTTTGTCCTGGAGATACACAAAAACAAAACAAAAAATTTAGTGAGAGATCTGACAGCAGCAGCTCAAAACAATGTCATCTTCAATTTGTAATCTGGTTTTCTAGCCACTCTGAATTTTTAGTTCTCTCTTAAGGGCTTTCACAAGTGTCTCCTAAAGAAATTTGACTTTCAAGGTTCTCCCAAGGTTCCACCAGTTCTCCTAAAGAATCTGATTCTAGGTTCCTCCTAAGGAATATATTTCCTAGTTCTGTGTAAGGATCTTGGGATCTATGTTTCCTTATGAAATCTTACATTAGGGTTCTTTAGGCGAGCAGGGACTGTGCAAAACTAACCAATACCCATCTCAGTAGCTAGGCGATGAAACTATATCCTTTCAGCCTACAAACAAAGCAAAAATGCAACGGCCACCGTCTGACAGTGGCTGTTGCATTTTTGCTCTGTTTGTAGACTGAAAGGATTTAGTTTCCTCACCCAGCTACTGAAATGAGTGCATCGTGCAACCCTGTGAGCTGTGGATTTCATTAGAATGTTTTTTGACTGTGGTGTTGTGAATTGTAGGTTCAGAAAATGATGTGTGGTCTGTTGTTGCAATATTGGTGGTGCCCTTATGTGATTAAAATTCATCGCATGTGCAACTGCTAATTTGTTGGTTACCTTTGCTACCATCGATGATGAACTGCATTTCTAATGTCGAACTGTTTGTGTTAGCACTCCTGATGGCTACTGTATGCTTTTTAAGCAGTCTGTCAATCTTTCCACAAGAGACTGTGATAAACATTCTGTGTGTTTTAAGTTGGGGCAGGAGCGAAGCAACTATGGGGTGACCCGTTTGCTATGAAGCTGAAACTAACATTACCATTACTAAGTTTACTAGGTGCCAAAATGCTGAAATATGGGAACTGTCATGGGCCAGAGGCCCAAGCCCCCGCAAAGAAAGATCATTAATTCAATGCAGGCCACTTGTTAGGGGACAAGGAGCTAAATTTGGCCTAGGAGCTGCCAATTGAATATCCCCGTCTTAGAGAATCTAGTTTTATGGTCTCTGAATGCTGTTCTAGTTACCAAAAATCAACCTGCAAATATGCACAACTTTGTGAGTTAGGATAATTATGAACTGATTCTAACAATGGACACTGGTCAACCAAAGAGCATCCTAAGTGTCTGTCTTATGTATCCTATCAAGATTAAGGCTAACTGGTCCTGTCAAGATTAAGGCTAACTGGTCCTGTCAAGATTAAGGCTCTGGTAGGTCACCAACCGCAGATAATCATTGTTTTCTCTTAATCCTTTAATGGAGCACAACTCCTGAAACAATTCGCACCACGTCACTATCTACTTTGCTTTCACACTTTAACCCCTGCCATTTTCATTTCTCTTCCCCCCCCCCCTTCCCGTGCAATTAGTAATTCATTTCTTCACACCCCCTCCCCCTCCTTCTAGTAACCTAGAGAATCAGCAAAACACGGAAAAAGGGGAGGGGGAGAGAAACAAAAAGATAAGTGTGAAATAACATACACAGATCTGTAAGTACACAGGTGTGGCTTTTAAAACTCTGGATGTTGCATCAGCACTAATCTGGGCATGTAGCTGATGGTTGTCTAGGCAGGGAAGTTGTTGGACAGGAACAACTATGCTGACAGGGGCTGGTGTATAACTAATCAGCAACTTACAGACAGAGAGAAGTCCAGCACCCTCTGAATCAGTTCTGGGTCTTGCACTGAACCCATGGCTCGACTGATGCGGACTTTTTCTTCCTGCATATCTGCTTCATCATACAACTGCAAAACAGAAACATGATACACTCAGCTAGGATCAGGACATAAACATGATACACTCAGCTAGGATCAGGACGAAGCATGATAAACTCAGCTAGGATCAGGACAGAAACATGATATACTCAGCTAGGATCAGGCCGAAGCATGATATACTCAGCTAGGATCAGGCCAAAGAATGATATACTCAGCTAGATCAGAACAGAATTGTGATAAACTGAGCTAGGATCAGAACAGAAACATGATATACTGAGCTGAGATCAAGCAGAAACATGATATACTGAGCTGAGATCAGGCAGAAACATGATATACTGAGCTAGGATTAGGACAGAAGCATGATATGCTCAGCTAGGATCAGGACAGAAGCATGTGACACTCTGCTAGGATTATGACAAAAGCATGATAAACTTAGCTATGATTAGGACAGAAGCATGATATACAGAACTAGAATCAGGCAGAAACATGTGACAGTAAGAACAGGACAGAAGCATGATACACTGAGCATGAAGCATTTCTGACTTACCTGCACAGCCTACAACTAAATTAGAGAAACTTTATGGCAAATGTTACTGCAGGTATCCACTAGCCAGAGAGAGAAGCGTTGAGGGATACTTGCTGTTGATATCCACTAGCCAGAGAGAGAAGCGTTGAGGGATACTTGCTGTTGGTATCCACTAGCCAGAGAGAGAAGCATTGAGGGATACTTGCTGTTGGTATCCACTAGCCAGAGAGAGAAGCGTTGAGGGATACTTGCTGTTAGTATCCACTAGCCAGACAGAGAGGTGTTGAGGGATACTTACTGCTAGTATCCACTATCCAGACACAGATGTGTTGAGGGATACTTACTGCTAGTATCCACTAGTCACACAGAGAGGTGTTGAGGGAAACTTGCTGTTGGTATTCACTATCCAGACACAGAGGTGTTGAGGGATACTTGCTGCTGGTAGAACTACAAATTTTGCTGGCTAAGTATTTTAGTTACTTGTATCTTTAGTAGTGGCGTAGTGGTTGGATGGTTGCCTCATGGTCATGCGCTTGAATCCCTACCACGGTGGGTTCAATATTGACCTCGGCTTCGAGGTTGACATGACTTAAAATATGTACCAGGTAATGTTCTGGGAAGTAAAGGCAGCCAGCATGATGGTGGCCATGACCCCCATCAAGTTCCGATAGGTCTATACAATGATAATATGTTCTATTTAGAAAAAAGATACAGGAAAAAAAAAACAGTGGATACAATGATAAGTCTAGCATCATATGTTCTATATAGAAAAAAGATACAGGAAAAAAGATACAGTGGATACAATGATAAGTCTAGCATCATATGTTCTATATAGAAAAAAGATACAGGGAAAAAAGATACACTGGATACAATGATAAGTCTAGCATCATATGTTCTATATAGAAAAAAGATACAGGAAAAAAGATACAGTGGATACAATGATAAGTCTAGCATCATATGTTCTATATAGAAAAAAGATACAGGAAAAAACATACAGTGGATACAATGATAAGTCTAGCATCATATGTTCTATATAGAAAAATAATACAGGAAAAAAGATACAGTGGATACAATGATAAGTCTAGCATCATATGTTCTTTATAGAAAATAGATCGTCTTTTTAACTGACCTATCTTAAACGGTATAAATTTACAATGACCATGTACCAGAGATGTTTTCTTGAAACAATACATGGTAGTGACAACAGGGGCAAAATGTGTTTGAAATAACAAGAAAAACTGTTACAACCAACCTTCATGATCTTGTCTAAGGTTGTCTTGTCCCCATTGTATAACACTGTGGTGTACACCTGAAAATGGCCAAATAACATTTAACTCATGGCTTTCCATTTCCCTTGTCAGTGACACACTTTTTAGAGAAACATAATTTCACGACACTGTACTTTCAGAAACTAACCCCTTTAAAAATAACTGGAAAACACAATCACACTGCAGGTGAGACACATACTTGTCACAATAGTTTTATAAAGCTCTGGTTTTACTGTAACCAAACTTATTGGTGCTGTCTTGTTTTAGATCAATGGCTGTTTTATCCCCACTATGATTCTGATAACAAAATTGGGTTAGTTTCGTTGCTATTTCTCATCCCACATTTTATCTAAAAGTTGGCTGCGTATTATTTATAGGATACTGCGGTTCAAGTCCCAACATTTTCATGGCCGCTGTTGGTTTTACTTGGTAATTTTATGTTCAGCTGTTTGCCATTGCTTTCTAAACAGTCAGTTCTCCATAGTGTTGTTGAAGTCAACATAGCCGGCTACTTGTATATATTAACCAAAATAAACATCAGGAACAGAAGAAAATATTAAACTATGTCCCTGGGTTATAGCTGACACTAAAACTGATAAACTATTTGCTGTTAGCTGTGTTCTTTTGTAGGATCAAAAAAAACTACAAATAAGAGCTGTTTATTATTGATGACCTGACATCAATACTATTGATGTCCTGTCATCATTACTATTGATGTCCTGTCATCATTACTATTGATGTCCTGTCATCATTACTATTGATGTCCTGTCATCATTACTATTGATGTCCTGTCATCATTACTAATGATGTCCTGTCATCATTACTACTGATGACATGTCATCAATACTATTGATGTCCTGTCATCATTACTATTGATGTCCTGTCATCATTACTATTGATGTCCTGTCATCATTACTACTGATGACTTGTCATCATTACTATTGATGTCCTGTCATCATTACTACTGATGACTTGTCATCATTACTATTGATGTCCTGTCATCATTACTAATGATGTCCTGTCATCATTACTACTGATGACCTGTCATCATTACTATTGATGACCTGACATCATTACTATTGATGACCTGACATCATTACTACTGATGACCTGACATCATTACTAATGATGACCTGACATCATTACTACTGATGACCTGACATCATTACTAATGATGACCTGACATCATTACTATCAATGACCTGACATCATTTCTGTCGATGATCTGACATTTCTATCGATGACCTGACATCATTTCTATTGATGACATGTTATCACCTGTCTG